ATTGATACATAGGGTGATCATTCTCCTCTAGATTTCTCTTGCATGCTGCTATGTGTTGACACAATTCTACATGATCTATGGCCATGTTGTAATGTCAGGATTAATAGTTGATCCAGCAAGTAGAATTGCATCACACCTAGGACTAACAGGTGACGTCTTAACAGGCCTTAGAATGGCCGGACTCAACGTACCAAAGAATAGTCAGAATACTAGCCAAGGTCGGGGACATGGAATGGGACTCATCAAGCTTGATGATCTCAGCTATAGAGGCAGGGCCAGTCGAGGGGAGACCAGCACGCTGCGTGGGGAAAAAAAAAAGGTGAGCAAAAACACTATTTTTAAACACTCATTTACACCATGACAGACACAGAAACACACATATACCATGACAGATACACACCCCATGACAGACACACACACACACCATGACAGACCATGACACAGACAGACACACACCATGACGGACAGACAGACACACCATGACGGACAGACAGACACACACACCCCATGACGGACAGACACACACACACCCCATGAATGACAGACAGACACACACCCCGTGACGGACAGACACACACCCCATGACGGACAGACAGACACACACACACACACACCCCATGACGGACAGAGACACACACACCCCATGACTGACAGAGACACACACACACCCCATGACAGACAGATAGACACACACACACACACACACCCCATGACGGACAGACACACACACACCACACACACACACCCCATGACGGACAGACAGACAGACACACACACCATACAGACAGACACCATGACACAGACAGACACACACACACCATACAGACACCATGACACAGACAGACACACACACACACACCATACAGACAGACAGACACCATGACACAGACAGACAGACACACACCATACAGACAGACATGATAACGCAGACAGACACACACACCATACAGACAGACAGACATGATAACACAGACATACAGATTACTAATACCTGCCAGGAGGAGGTCTTCTGTGGGCCGCTGGGGGACTTTTACAGCTGGGGAGGTCTTCTGGCGGCCGCTGGGGGACTTGTCCTGGCGGCTGCTGGGGGAGCTGCGCTGGCTCTGCTCTCCCGCCCTCGCGCGGTGCTGAATGAGACCGGCGCCGGAATATGACGTCATATTCTGGCTCCGATCTCATTCAGCTGCGCGCTGGGGAGCAGAGCCAGCGCAGCTCCCCCAGCGGCCGCCAGAAGACCTCCCCAGCGGCCGCCAGCAGACCCAGGTGTCTGCCCGTCCTCAGGTGCCGACGGCCCACCGGGAAATTTCCCGGTATCCCGCTGGGCCAGTCCGGCCCTGCGTGGGGCTATAATTTGGCGTGGATCCGCAGCGGCTGGCGTCCATCAACATGCTGCAGGAGTTAGGTACACAGACTCATGGCCACCGAACGCAAATACCGTGAATTAAGGATGAATATGTTCCAATCTCTCTCTTCAGTCCTGTATCCCAAATTTTTTCTAATTTATATCTTTGCCATCCTCTCTCTTCTTTCTCATACTCTTGCTTTTTTAGTCTCTTCCTATCCTACTCATGTTGCACTTTCTGTCTCTTTCCCATTACTCTTTCTGCAGAGGTGTATCTAAGGGTCTTTGGAAGTGAGGTTCTTTAGCCATGGATCTCTACAGAGGCAGGCAGAATCAGGTAGCTAATTATCAAAGTACCAGTCTAAATAATTATCACTAGTAAAGTGCTCCTCTAGGGTTCTAAGGAGGAGAGGATGATCCCCTCAAATACAGTCTGGAGGAGGTTTTAAGAAGGCTTTGTGTGAGAGATTCTGTGTTTATGTGCATACATGCGTGTGTAAGAGGCTGTGTGTGTTTGAATGTTTGTGTGTATTTTTGCCGAGAGGCTGTTTGTTTATGTGTGTGGGAGAGGTTGTATGTATATGTGTGAAGATACAGCAGAGGCGTAACTACTGCTGGTGCAGCCAGTGTGGCTGCACTCGGGCCAGCACACGCAGGGGGCCAATCGGATGCATCATGGTGTGTGTATGTGTATATCTGTGTCTGTGTGTGTATGTGTTATTGTGTTTATATGTTTGTATCTGTGTGTTGTGTATGTATATTTGAGTAATTATGTAGATATGTATGTGTGTGTCAGTGTATGTGCATACACCATGCAAACACAAACACAACATGAAAAAACACACTCCTGCAATATAACACAAATATTACATACAAACACATCGGTGCATTCAAACTCCAAAATTTATACAAACACACTTCACTCAAGTGATAATTATTTAGACTGGTACTTTGATATTTAGCTACCTGATTCTGCCTGCCTCTGTAGAGATCCATGGCTAAAGAACCTCCGCAATCAACCGCAAACATTAGATACAAACACACCCCTGAATTAAAACACTAGCATATCTTCAATCAAACACCATCACTGCACACCTGCATTTGAAAGCCAACACTTCAAACACACACCACTGCATTCAAACACAAGCACTACACACAAATACAACACTATAAGGATGGGCAAATGGTAGATCCCCAGTTGGCGTAGCATAGTTCGAGTTGTACGACAGATGGAGATCTACCTTTTGGCCTTTATTTTCACTAGAGTGGGCCCAAAACACTTTCTTGCCCCAGTGCCCCCTTCAGATTAGTGCCGCCACTGAGATACAATTTGTATGTGTAGAGGAGAGGCTGTGTGTAAGTGTGAGTTTAGAAAAGACTGCATATTTTATGGAGAGGTTATGTGTGTTGGAAGGATTTATGTTTGTGAGGGGAATTTTAAGCCTCCCTATTCATTTTAACAGTGTGGAGATAGATCTACCTGAGGGAGGGGGGATAAGTACCCTGGTTGATTTGATGGATTGTGTGATCAGCACCACCTGTTGGTTTACATCACTGTAATTGCTGCTTTTTAGTCATTGCCAGGTATTTATGGAACTATGCTAAGCTATACTGGGATATGAAATATCTTTTTTTTTAAATATACTTTGATTTTTTTTCAATGCATTAGTAATAGCAGTGAACTCCAACCCGGAGCATAGCGTTATCACCTTATCACCTTTAGTTTTATAATAAAATGCTGTTGAAGACATATTAAAAAAAAACAAAAAAACAATAGGCAAAATGAGAGTCTTTTATGAATGATATCTGCAAACAATGCATAGTACACATATAGTTACAGGGGTCTTTAAATGGTTTATGATAAGCAGGTTATAGGTACATTGCCTTGTTTTTAGTGGTAGTGACATATTTGAACTAGCCACCCAATACATTCCTAATTATAAAAGAAGCTTAGATTTTCCTTAAAGACTGGACTGTCCCCACCTCTTGTCTAGTCAAAATGCAAATCTAATGGTAACATTTTATAGGAGAGCGCCATCTAGTGTTTTAGAAAAAAATTGCGCCAATTCAATCACGCTAGAGAAAAGCTTCACAGGTGGAGGCTTTAGGAGTTGACTGTAAGCGAAGACGTCATAAAAACGCCCAAGAGAGAAAGGATCCTAATGCAAAGGATAAGTAGGTAATGAAAGTATGTGTACCTGAATCAGAGCCATTTCAAACAAATAACTACAAAACCATTTTAGTTATTATATGACTCTTCACTTGTTTATATGTGCCCTTTGTGTGCCAGAGGGTTTTTAAGGACATTTTCTTCTGACTTGTAGATTAGTATTCAGACATTTAATTGTACAGTTTGCGTTGAGTATATTAGCATTTTATAAGTAGTGTTACATTTTTTTGGTGTGACGTGTTAAGCCTTACTCATGTTAAAGGAGATTCCAGTCTGGAGGTAATCCTTTTTTTATGTTATGTTAATATGTTGCTCAAATATTAAATATATGAAAATCCTGAATTTGCTGCAAATCCTCAGACTTCACAATATTTGCAGTATAGGCAATTCACCCAGTCAGTATTCCTCTGTTATTTTCAAAGGAGTTGACTATATTGCATAAACCTCTACCATGCAGAGATATATGGGACATGCAGTTAAGTACCTTATAGTGACTCCATGCATAAATTATGATATTTTGACTGGTGGAGCAAGGGGTATAGCATTGTGGCCAGCTGTCACATTAAATGGTTTTAAAAAATCAAAACAAAAAAACATTAGTATAATGGGTGTGCAAAACCTACCTTATGCCACCCTTTGTCATGCTGTAGGTGGGGCATATCTATGAAACAGTGAACAGTTAGTGTGGGAAAATAATTATTCAAAAAACATGCCGCAACAAAAATAAATCCAAACGAGCCCCTTGATGGCTCAGCGCAGAAAGAGCGTCAAGTCAGGAAAACTATGAAATCTCAGTAGAGCTCTGTGACAAGGCAAGTCTTGCAAGAAGTGCCCATTGGATAGGGCATTTGTAGCGAATGAGCAGCAATGGCTAGTTTTCAGTTACAGTGAGCAGCCACTGACCTCTATAACCACTGGATATACAACCTGAACCCTGTGGATCTAGCAATACCAATGCTCAATATATTGTAAGTAGGATTCTACCTTGTTTTTATACTCACATTGCCAGTGTACACTGTCTCTTTTGCACGTCTGCTGATTGCATAGAAAGCTGAAAAGAATCCCAAACAGGGAATTGTAACATTCCATGCCAGTACAAGAGAGACCATTTTGGCCTCACTAAATGAGATACTTTTTGTCATTTCTACTTTGGTTAATTTTTTTTTTTTTTTATGCAATGAGAATTACAATCGTGAGTAGAGACATGCTTATGAAAACAGAAAATCAGGTATCTGATAAGGGCACTAAACATTAAACTGCACCTTTTTTAAAGTATTAAAATTGGTAGACAACATCAATTATCCAACTGTATGAACCCCCTAGAACCCCCCAATGAGCAATTGAGAATTAACTGAATTGAGGGCAGGAAAGTAGCGAAAGGGGAGCAGGAGAACATAAAAATAAAATGTTAACCTAGGTTTGCAAATCCAGTTCCCACACAGAAACATTATTAAATAGAGAAGTAGGCAGGAGCCCAAGAGAGTCCCATCATATAGCCCAGCTAAGCCTATGCCCTGAAGGGGCAAAACACAGTCCAGCATTCTGGAGAAGTGCTTCAGGTTTCCCTGTCCAGACATTTGCAGGCAGGGAGACTCTGGCTTGGATTGTTACAGGTCCGGCCTCTGTGCCGACTGGTTGATAGTCAGGGGTTGCCTTACGCTCCGCCGCCATGTTCGAGCCCTCTTCACTGCGGGAGTTGCAGGCCTGCGATGGAGACATGGAGTCCGCACCTTAGGTGAGTGGCTACTCGGATACCGTTGAGCAGACTGTCGCCCTCTGTGCTCCAACTTCCTCCAGAAGTTGTCAAAGATTTTGTCCAGCCTGGACATGATGTCGGGTGTTAGTGGTGTAACATGTGGCGTCCGCCATTTTGCATTAGCCGCTTTGTCAGCCGCTTCTTTGTCTGGATCTGCCGCAGTTGGGAAGCATCCCAGGAATGGACCAGGATTATTGTTCTCACATATTGTGTCCGATATCCAGAGGAGCAACATCCACCCTGCTGCTATTTACTATAAGCACCAAAAATAATTTTAGCTTAATGAAGCAGTTTTGGTTCAAAAGCATATACAACCCTGTGCAATTAGTTTTTAAAAGGGTCTTGTATGTGAAGCCCTGGAGGGGCATCAAAATGACATACCCACATTAGGAGAAATCATGTCTTGGTGATGAGACCAGAAAGCCCCTACTTGGCACTTATTTGTAGCAAAGACAGTCTATACAAGTTTTTCAATAGCCAGGACTACTACATGCCTTATTTCATAATTCACCTCCTATATTTCATACAACATGCCACAATTCATACCATTCTATAATGCATCCTACTTGTCATATTTCATAACACGTCATAATTAATCCTACTTCTCCCATGTCAGCATTGACATCACTTTGCAGTAATTCATTCTATTTACCTTTAATCATCCACAACTTGAACATAGCTCATATCATCGCAAAATTTAATTTTCTTCTTAGAGCAACATTTTTAGTTTTTTTTATTACATATTACATTACATTATACATATATATATGGGTGACCAGCATTTTCAGCAAAACACTGTGCACCATACTGGCTGAGAGCATAGAGTATGATGCACTTAACAGCCACTAACCCATGCAAAAATTATTTTGGAAGATTACTGGATGTGAGCTGAAGCGGAGCTCCTATATCCCTACTGGATATCTCCACTGGAATTCCCTTTCAGCTGGAAGAAGAGCCTTTCAGTGTTTATAGCCTATTTCCCCAGACATCAGACAACACATAATGCTTGGGAGAATAAGAACCTTCATTAAAACAATGCAGATTTTTATACACAGACCACCAGCATGGGCTCTCCATTCAAAGTAATGCTGATCCTTCCCTGACTGCTTAATTTAATTATCTCCCAGGTACAGAGAAGCCTAACACACAATATCCCCCCCAAATCACAGTTTAACATCCCCGAACCCCCACATATTATACTTATTCCGAAAGTCCATGTTGGTGCCATGTCTGGGAAATTAGAGTTTTGTTCCATGGGGCATTATGAAAATGCCATCAAAGTATAGACCAGCCGCTATGAAAGTCCTGGCTTAAAACCGTTCCAAGCCGGTTGCACCCAAGTGCCGGTCATTTAATGGAACTTTTGCGGGCTGAAAAGGGGGTGGGGGGGGGCTTCCTTTCGCTCTCAGGAAGCAATGACACTTAGAGATATATTGTACCTCTCCTCCAAATAGCGCTCTCCTAGCTATATGTAAAGAGGGTCAAAGCAGGGGGGCAACTTGACCGTGCAAAAGTGATAACTGCGGTTGAGCTGGAGTTCCAGAGAAACAACGGAGTTCCAGGAATATCAGACAAATAAAAATCTCTTTAAAAACCTATGCTGCCACCCTTTAGAAATGACCCTGTACATAGAAGCTCTAAAACTTAGCCGCTCTCTTAGAAACATAGAAACATAGAATGTGACGGCAGATAAGAACCATTCGGCCCATCTAGTCTGCCCAATTTTCTAAATACTTTCATTAGTCCCTAGCCTTATCTTATAGTTAGGATAGCCTTATGCCTATCCCACGCATGCTTAAACTCCTTTACTGTGTTAACCTCTACCACTTCAGCTGGAAGGCTATTCATGCATCCACTACCCTCTCAGTAAAGTAATACTTCCTGATATTATTTTTAAACCTTTGTCCCTCTAATTTAAGACTATGTCCTCTTGTTGTGGTAGTTTTCTTCTTTTAAATATAGTCTCCTCCCTTACTGTGTTGATTCCCTTTATGTATTTAAATGTTTCTATCATATCCCCCATGTCTCGTCTTTCCTCCAAGCTATACATGTTAAGATCCTTTAACCTTTCCTGGTAAGTTTTATCCCGCAATCCATGAACCAGTTTAGTAGCCCTTTTCTGAACCCTCTCTAAGGTATCAATATCCTTCTGAAGATATGGTCTCCAGTACTGTGTACAATACTCACCAGTGTTCTGTACAATGGCATGAGCACTTTCCTCTTTCTACTGCTAATACCTCTCCCTATACAACCAAGCATTCTGCTAGCATTTCCTGCTGCTCTATTACATTGTCTGCCTACCTTTAAGTCATCAGAAATAATCACCCCTAAATCCCTTTCCTCATATGAAAAATGGGAAAATCAACTAACCTAACCAAATACAGGGAGGGTGGGAGGGACAACTGACAGGTAAGCTTAGGTTCAGTTAAAATGGCCACTTCATATAATGGCCAGTATAACTACTCCCCTTATGGATCCGCCCTACCCAGCATGCTAGCTGCTGTCACCAGTGTGACCACTTTTGGCATTTGTCACTTGGTATAAAAGTAATTTAAAGGCACCAAAACAAATTTGCCTTAATGAAGTAGCCTCTGCAGTCTCACTGTTCAATTATCTGCCATGTAGACAAATTAGGCAAATCACTATGTGACTTGCACAGTGTTTCTAAATATTCCCTGAAAATTAACCTAGATATTTTAACTTTCTATATTACACAGTCTCTTTAATCTAGTATTTCTAATCTCCTGCTCTATTTATAGTTTGCTACACCATGCAGGAGCCTCATGTATGTGATTAAAGGTCAATTTACAGAGCAAGAGATACAAAAACTTCTAAAGCAAGTTACAGTCTGACTGAAAAGTAAACCATTTTCATTTTCCACCCAGGAGATGGGAGGTGTGGCTATGGCTGTATAAACAGAAACAAATTAAATTTAACTCCTAAATGGACACTGCATTAGAAAAGTGCAATTTGGTAAATATACCTGCAAAGAAAATAGATGTAGTACCTGCAACAACTGCAAGCCCTTCTTTTTTGTCTGCACAGACTTTCCTTGTTTAACTTGTGTATTACAGGTCATTGAGAAGTCTTTGCAAGGCAGGTGGTCTGGCATTTGCCTGACTCTTGAGTTTAACCCCTTAAGGACACAGCTTCAGAAGCTTGTTTTATGCTTAACCCCTTAAGGACAGAGCTTCAGAATCTTGTCTTTCACTTAATGACTAGTGATGTCCCGAACGGTTCGCCACAGATGGCGAACATATGCGCTGTTCGATCCGCCCCCTATGTCATCATTGAGTAAACTTTGACCCTGTACCTCACAGTCAGCAGACACATTCCAGCCAATCAGCAGCAGACCTTCCCTCCCAGACCCTCCCACCTCCTGGACAGCTCACTAAGAATGCAGCTTCACAATGAATGTAAAATGGATGCTGTCCAGGAGGTGGGAGGGTCTGCTGCTGATTGGCTGGAATGTGTCTGCTGACTGTGAGGTACAGGGTCAAAGTTTACTCAATAATGACATAGGGGGCGGACCGAACAGCGCATATGTTCGCCGTCCGTGGCGAACCGTTAATGACAACAGCATTTTTTTCATTTTTTGCTGTTTGCGTTCAACTGCAATTTGCATTTTACTAATTTATTGCACCGACATATATTATATATCATTTTTTAAAGTACAGAAAGGGCATTAATTTGATGTAACACACATATATATATAAATGCTTATTTATTATTTAAAAAACTGAAAAATGCAAAAAAATACATTTTTGCTATAATGTGTGCATAATTAGTGCAGGTTAAGGAAAGTAATTAAAAATAAATTCATTTAGTTGTTCTGATTTACAGAATATATAATGTGTCTGGGAGTTTTTTTTTTGGTAGTTACAGGTCACAAAGCACAAGGAGTAAAACTTTTATTGTGGAGCGATTTTAGAATTTGGGATGTTTGTCTTGTAAGCTTAATAGCCATAAAAGTAAACAAAATTGCCACACAAAGTATATATTTATATAAAGTAGACATCACAGGCTACTTACCTATGGTTGTTTTGACACTTTCTACGTAGCCATTCCACCGCCAACCTCTGCTAAATATTGGAGTAAAATTTTTTTTTTTTTTTGGCACACAAACTTATAACAAAGAAATTCTCATGTGTATTTTGTAAAGTTGGTGTGTGCTATTCCTGTACAAAGTTTTATTTTGTGTTCAGTTACATCTGCTGAGTAAAATGACACCCCCATTGTATGTCTTTTGCACTATTTCGTGAAGCTACAGTGCCATATAGGAGACCTGTCCTTTTCAGTATTCACAGTAGAATTTTGAGAGACGGATTTAATGAGCCTATGCTTCCATTTGGGGTATTATACCAGTTTAACTGTTAAAAAAAAAAACACAAAGGCCTACCATTTGTAAAAGTAGACACTCCAGGGTATCTCATAAGGTGCATATTGTGCCTTAACATGCCCCCATGTTTTCACCAATATATGCTAAAGTATGTGATAAAAAATTATTTTATGCGATTTTTACATATGGATTGCATTTTTTGCTGGGCATTTTGTATATTTCACATGTGCCACTAAGTTCAAACCCCCCAAATTATGCTCAGCTAAGTCTTATGAGTAAAAAGACACCCCCAATGAATGTCTTTGGCACTATTTCGTGAAGCTACAGTGCCATATAGGAGACCAAGCCATATCAGTTTTTACCGAACTTTGAATTTTGACTCTGGGCCTATGTGCAATTTTCAAGCATCTTAGCAGGGTTTAAATTAAAACTACCCCACAAAGGCCTACCATTTCTTAAAGTATACACCCCAGGGTATTTCAAAAGGTATATTTTGAACCTTAGTGTGGGATCATTTTTCCGCTAGCTTGTACCAAGTGTAATAAGTGTTTTTTCTGCCTTTTTGACATACAAAGT